GCTCGAAACCGGACCCCGTGTAAACACCGGGCCGCCCCAGGAGCTGCCCCAGCCCGCAGTGACCCCCGCCCCGCGCCTGCCCGGCCCTTTCTCCCCGCCCGCAGTGTCCCTGGGGAGGGCACGGGACATCCAGGCCTGGTGCTGCCGCCACCAGTGCCCCGTGCCCTGCAGAGCAAGGCTTGCCCTGCTCCCCGGCACACCGCCCTCCCAGCTGCAGCCCCGCGCCAGAGGCCACCGGGGAAGGGGCCCGCTCCTGCCACACGCTGCCCTTGCAGCCCCGGCTTCCTTGGCTCTTCCTTGGCTGCGGGGCTGGGGCTGGGGCTGGGGCTGGCTGCGGCTCCATTTCCACCCCTCTCCCCCCGGGGCCGGCCCTGGCAGGTGGACGCAGGGGGTGGTGCAGAGCTCCCCGCCCGGTCTCCAGCGTCACCCTGGGGGGGCTGCATCTTGCTCCCGACGCCCTGACCCACTTCTAATCCCCGGCGCTCGGCCAATAAAGCTTTTGCTAAATTAGGTAAAATGCCCCTGCCGCCAACGCGGCGTGCGGGAGCGGAGCGGGGTGTCCGATAGGCTGCTCAAACGGGGGCACCCACCTGTGGCCAATCGCGCGGTGTGGGGGGGAAACGGGCAGGGTGCGGACAGTACAAATTGGGGGGCCAGGGGCGGAGGGGAAGCTTTTGGGGTCTGTTTGGTGCAGAAGGCGGCGGCTGTGTCGGGCCCTCGGGGGGACCAGCCAAAATGGTGAGGAGGGCAGCTGTGGTGTGGCCGTGGCTGTGGCAGGGAGTGCCTGGGGCACGGGGCCTGTGGCCGGGGCAGGGGCCCCTGCACGCTTGGCTTCATGCGCTGGAGGCACGTGCAGGCGGTGCCCGGCTCTGCTGCACGGCACGTGGCCGCGGGCCGGCCGGCATGGTACCCGGGTGGAAGTTGCTGGGTCCCCTGTGGCTCCCGCTGTGCTTCGGGCCCTGCTGCTCCCCAAGGGCATGAGCCGGGGCGGCTGCATGGCAGGCTTGGGGGGCAGGAGGCCGTCCTGGCGGGTTGTGCAGGACCAGGGGCAGGCGGGAGGGGTCAGGGAGGAGGGAGCTGGGGGTTTGGGAACAGCCAGGCTGCGATGTCCGGATCAGTGTCCCACGGGCGCGGGCTGGCTTGGCTGCTGCGGGGAGGTTGGTGGAGCGAGTGGACGGGCGGAGCTGCCCCCTCATGCTGCCGGGAGAGGGAACACTGCAGGGCCCCCGGACCCACCGGGCAGACGGGGCACAGGGCTGCGGGGCAAGAAGACACGGGCTGCGGCTCGGCGGGCCCGCCGCAGCTGCCCGGGCCTGGCTCTCAAGGAGTAACTCAATCCGGACTGACAGGTGCTGAGGCGCCCGCACCTGCCGGCCCCTATATGGGGAGTTGAGACGCGGCTAAGAATAGCCACCGCGCCCCGGCCAACACGCAGCTGCGGGCAGGAGAGGCCGCAGGGGCTGGGCAGGGACCAGCCTGGCTCGGGCTGCGGAGCTTAATGCCCAGCCCGACCAGCTGGAGAGGGAGAGGAGTCCGCGTGCGTGGGGCCTGGGAGGTGGCTCACACCCCCTGACAAGGCCTGGCGCTGCAGGGCTCTCTCGGGGGAGCCCCCGCTCCAGGATGTGGCGACGCGCTCGGGCAGGGCTGGCGCCAGTGCAGATCGCAGTGGTCGCCGCCCCAGGCCGGCCTCGCTCAGAGCCCCGGCAGCATCCATGCCACACGACACGCGAGGGTCTGGGCTGGCTGCGCTGCTAGTGCCGGAGCAGGGGCTGCGGGTGACGCGGCTGTGTGCTCGCCTTGCAGACTGACCAGCAGGCAGAGGCCCGGGCCTTCCTCAGCGAGGAAATGATTGCGGGTGAGTGCCACCAGTCCACGCGGAGCCTGCTGGAGTTGGGGGGATAGGGCGTGGGGGCACATCTGCTCCGTGTCCGCAGCTCCGCCAGGCGCTGGCTACTCCTGGGAGGGGCGCAGCGCATCCCACCTGGCTGGAGTGACCTGTTCCCGAGCCTGGAGAGGCACCAGGGCTTCTCCTTGCCTGGCCCCACATCCCAGGGCATCAGGGAGCCAGAGCCAAGCAGCTGCAGGGTGGAGGTGGCTGGGCACGCAGGCGGGCAGGGCAGAGGCGGCTGGAGCCGTTGCCCCCAGGTTGGGAGGAGGGGGGCGACCTGCAGGCACACGGGGCCATGCGAGCTCCCTGCTGCCCCGCTGACCCCCCTTACCCCGCAGAGTTCAAGGCCGCCTTCGACATGTTCGACGCGGATGGCGGCGGTGACATCAGCACCAAGGAGCTGGGCACCGTGATGAGGATGCTGGGGCAGAACCCCACCAAGGAGGAGCTGGACGCCATCATAGAGGAGGTGGATGAGGATGGTGAGCAGAGCCTTCCTGGTCTTGGGGGGGTGCAGGCGGCTCCTGACCGGGCGCAGGCGGCTTCTGACCGTGTGTGCGGGTTCCCCCCCGCAGGCAGCGGCACCATCGACTTTGAGGAGTTCTTGGTCATGATGGTGCGCCAGATGAAAGAGGATGCCAAGGGCAAGTCTGAAGAGGAGCTGGCCGAGTGCTTCCGCATCTTCGACAAGTGAGTGGGGGGCACCCACCATGGCCAGGCCACGCTCACCTGTGTCCCCCAGCCCTGCAGCTGAGCCCTGCCACATCCCACGGAAATGCCCGGCTGCTGGCACCAGTGCCCCAGCTCACGGCACAAGCCTGCGTCCCTCTGGCTTCCCGAGTCCTGTCCTGGCCTCCTGCCCAGCTGCACCGGGCTGGTGCCCGCACCCCTGGCCCAGACAGCCCCTGCCCCCTTTCAGCCCCTCGTCTCTGCTGAGCCCCCTGCGTGCCCTGCCCCAACTCTGGCCTCTGCCCCCAGGAACGCGGACGGCTACATCGATGCAGAGGAGCTGACCGAGATCTTCCGGGCCTCCGGGGAGCACGTGACCGAGGAGGAGATTGAGGAGCTCATGAAAGACGGGGACAAGAACAACGACGGACGCATCGACTTCGACGGTGAGTGCAGCTCCGCGCGGCCCTCGCGCTTCGCTCCGAGCCCGCAGGGGCCCCGCTCCCGGCTGCTGCCACCCAGCCCCCGGGGGCCCAGCCGGCACCTGCACCCACCCATGGGGAGCAGTGCATTGCACCAACGCAGTGCGCAGCCCTGCAGCCCGTGTGCATGCACTGCGGGGAGGGGGGCGTGGGTCCCCCCTGCGTGTTGCAAGCCGGTGCGACGCGGCCCCCTGGACCAGCACTGATGGTGGCTGGTGGGTTGCAGAGTTCCTGAAGATGATGGAAGGTGTGCAGTAAAGGACCAGACATTCCTCCAAGCCAGGCCAGCGCTTCCAGCCCTGCTCCATCCTGCCAGCGACGCTCAGCCCTGCCTGGAAGCAGCCTCTCATCCCAGCGCCTGGCCCTCCCGGACCCCCCTGGACTCCGTGTGCTCCAGCTTGCTCCATACAGCGCCACGGCTCCCGCGGGGCCACAGCCCCAGACTGGCTCCCCTCCCACCGCCCACTCACCCCTTGCCGCTAGTCTGTAAAGTGCTGTTTTTATTTGAGCCTCATTAAACGGGCAAAAGGTTTGCACTGGCCGGGACCGGGGGTCTGACCTGGCATTTGTGGGCGTGCGTTGGGGCAGGTGGGGCTGGTGCGCTCTGGTCCGTGCCAGCCCCAGCTCCTCGTGGGGGGCTGCAGCAGGGTGGAAGTCTGGGGGCCGGGCAACGCAGCTACGCCCCAGGGACCCCAGCCCAGCCCTGGAGCTGGCCTGCCTGCTCCGGGGGCCTGAGCCCTGGAGCCCAGCCTGGGAGTCCTGCAGCCAGCCCCTGCCCTTGGGGACACACGAGT